ACCCAGGGTCTGTTCTTTCATGGAACAGGGCATTTGCAGCATGAGATGAATGGTCCCTTATTCTGGGACTTATTTTGGAATTCCTCCCCTTCCTGCATTTGTGCAATTCATTTTTTTATTTGCTTCTGGGGCTCAGACATCGAGTCTGCGGTGGAGTGCAGAGGAAGTTACTTATATGAAGTTAGAGGCAGAGAACAGTTTCTGACTGGATTTCCTAGATAATTCAGGCAAAAGCAGTTCTTTGCTTGAATCTGACATAACACTGGATGTGCTCTATTATTCAATTTTACCATTTATCTTGTTAAGTCATTTTTTCTTGCCAAATTTTCCAGGTAATTGCTTCCATACTGTCTTATTTTTATTATTAGAAATATGGCATGAGAACTTCCACTGATTTAAAATATTTATGAATATGTAACTGAAGGAATTTGTTGTAGGATAATTTAAAGGCATTTAAAATCCCCTACTTTGCTACTTCTAAAGTATAAATATGCAGAAAATAAAGGGAAAACTCACCTACGATACTTTTATCTTAATATTTCCCATTTAGGATTACAAAATTCCAGGACTGTATAATTTTCAATACATATTTAATGATTATATGCTTATGATGTAAATAATATAATGTTTTCCTACAATACCCAAATCCTCAAAAATACTAACATTACAAATAACATTTTATTATAGAAACTAGAATCATGATGACTCCATAGAATAAGAAGAAAGGAATTAGGAAGAGAATATTCATGTTATTAACTTTCTTATAACTTCCCCGTGCTTAATAGATGCAAGGCAATATGGTAGCTCCCATAATATGGAGAAGCACCAGGGACTCTGATTCTAAAACATTTGCCAACATAACATAAATGTGAGTAAGAAGCTGCTGACAACTTCACCGGACTTTGTGGGCATTTAAATGAAGAAAACATGGTTTCCCTCCTAGAGAATTCTGTCCACTGACTGATGCGCCTATGCCTATCAGCACCGTGGCTGGGGCCAGCGACTCTTTCATTAGATTTAATGAGGGAGTAGAAGTTCCTGAAGGACCCGATGGGAGATTTAACTGGCAACAGGCACTTGTTGATCAGAGAATGGAAACAGAATCTCATCTGTCTGAGGTGGAAGGGAAGGGAGACGCTTTCCCAGACTGATGATGGCAGGAGCGAGCAGCGAGGCTTAGCCTGTGTTTGAAATGGGAATGAGCCTGACGTTTCTTTGTGGCTTTGCTGTGGGAAGAAGTCCTTTCTGGTTTTCAGATGACTATGACACAGGCCATGAATTTACTTTGAGAATGAGATCATGAAACCAGCTTTTCTTGCCCATAGAGCTCACATTTGTCTCTGTCGTATGCTTTAAAAACAGTTTAGATTAATAATAGCTTATTATTAATAAGCTTAAAGTTTCAGCTTTTCTGTTCATGGGTTAAAAATCTATCGGTGAAAAATCAGGGCTTTCCATTTATAGTAAATCCTGATATTTCAAAGAAATAGGGAATCAGGGGGCGCCTGGGTGGTTCAGTTGGTTAAGTGGTTAAGCGTCTGCCTTCCGCTCAGGTCATGATCCCAGGGTCCTGAGATCGAGTCCCGGATCGGGCTCCTTGCTCAGCGGGGAATCTGCTTCTTCTCCCTCTGCCTCTCTCCCCTGCTTGTGCTCTCTCTCTCTCTTTCTCTCTCAAATAAAGTCTTAAAAATATATATCTGTTTACGTGTTATCCCCTTTACTAGCTACTTTTTAATTCAAGGAGTATTTGTCAGGTGCTCTTCTGGGCCCAGGGGAGAGACAGGCAATGTTCCTGCCCTTCGGTAATAGCAAAATGGTCTCTTACTACTGAATGTGCATTCTTGAAATCCGTGTGAACCGGGGCACTGGCCCGTGTTTATCAGCGCTGCATACCCTGCCTGGTGAAAGTTCTTTGCATCTTCTCTGACTTCCAGTTGCCTACGCGGCACCGCCCGGGCGGTGAGGACCGCAGGAGTTCTTGCCCCTGGTTCCAGTGACGTCCTCTCTTCCGAGGGGATGCCAGCCCACCTTCCGGGCGCCTTCCAGCGCACAGAGGAACGCGAGGATCATGGCACACATTTATTTTATTTATTTCCAGGACACCATGGTCTCTGAGCCAGGGACTTGGCCTGAGCGGAGCCCACTCCTGCTGCCCTGGGCTGTCTCGGTGCTCTCTTGTTTGCATTGATGCAGACCTTCTGAAGGACACAACTGAGCAAACGGAGGCTTGCGGGCCCCTCCTGAGACTGCCGGCTGCGCTCCCCGGCGAGCCATTGGTTCACAGCCCACCACGCAGGCGCAGCGAAGGCTCCATGAGGAGAACGTGGGAAGAGGTGTACCTGGTGCTCCGTTTTATTTCTCACCCGTGAGCACGCCGCTGCCGCTAGCTCACGCTTAGAGCGGGCTCCGGGCTCCGGGCACCGGGCTGTGATGGCTCTACGCTGGTTGGCACATTCCAGATGGATGGCAGCAGGTGCCCCACTGGTTGATGCGAGGTATCAGATCACCGTGAACGGGGCAGCCCAAAGCCGAACTCTGAGTACAGACTAGCGCCGGAGAGCAGGGAGGATGCACGTTGACCTCCGCGGGCCACACAACCCGGGTGCCGGGACCCCGGCGCCGGCATCCCAGCCCCGCAAGCTCAAGGGGAGGGGAGAAACTGAAGCCACAAGCGTGGCCGCACCATCGTGGAGCTGAGGGGGCCTCCCTCCGTGTCCCCTGGTGGATTAATTACAGGGGCTACTTGTGCATTAGGACAGGAGTGGGAAAGACAGTGCTTCCATCTGCAAGCTCCCCCATGTGTCCCCATCGCCACGGTGGCCTCCAGCGTTTACTGAGTGTGTGTGTGGGGGGGGTACACCAGCCCTTCCTGGGAGGTGATGTCTTGGGTTTGGAGTGCCGTTAAGAAGACAGCCGTTCAAGTATGGATCCCGCGTTTCTAAGCCTGTTAACCCACACAAAGCAGGGCCTTCAGGTGGGCTCCTAAAAGACTGACTGCACTTAATGTCGGTTAACCCAGAGGCATCTCCAAATGGTCACTTCACATTCTTAAAATTTAGAGAGTAGTTGCTAAAAGGCTAAAGGAATAGGTGTACTGAGAAACATAGGCATGTAAAGGATATTTTAATGAAGCAGGCAAGTGTCATAATAATATAAGGCACTAAACCTCCCACAGCAAGGCTGAAGAAACCAAAGCCCCAAGTGCATGCTGGTGTTCAAAGGTATATAAATTGGTGTGATAGGAGAAAAAAAAAAAGAATTTCATGGCCAAAAAATTTGGGAACCAGGTAATTAAACAAAATTAAACAGATTTCTTTACAAAAGGAATTCTGAGTTGCTAATGTAGATTGTGAATGGGAATATATTGTGATTTCTGTGAGCGTTAAATGATCTGATATTTGTAGGGAACTTAGGATAAGCATCCAGTATAGCTCAATACGAGTTAATTATTTGTGTTGTTACTATCCAAGAGGGACATCCAATAGGAATGACCTGGCAACCCTTCCCCTACTGAGTAACTCTAGATACCAGAATACTGAGAAATATTAGGCTGGGAAGCTTCCCTAATATATATATTTTTGGCTACACCAGTGGACAACTTACCAGATACAAAGTGTCTAACATTGTTAATAATTAATACTAATAAGGGCAGTTAGTGTTTATTGACGGTCTAAGCCAGGCACTTGGCTGAGTATCTGCCATGCGTGACATCTCACGATTCTACTGTTGTGCGGCAGCTTCTGTTTTCATCTCTACTTGAGAGAGGAGGATTTAGGCAGTTAAAAAACTTGACCTAGGAGAGCTGAGATTTGCATTCTGGCCAATGGCTCCAAATTCCCTGAGTGCTGAGCTCCTCAGTTACATATCCTCCTAGAGTTCCTATTATAACTACACAGCTCATGCTCTCCAAGGAGAGCTCACCAAATCCTCACTTTTTCGGTAGCCCAGACTCACCATTTTTTTCAACAGGCACATGGCAACGGGGACAGGGCTTGGTGGTTTTCTTGATTGTTTCTTTGGAGGCCTCTTCCCACCGAGCTTGCTCCGCGGCCTTCTCATCAACTCTGTAAGCCTGCGGAATAAAGACAGAAAGAGTTGAAACTCAGATCTTTATGTTGGGGTTGACATGTAGGTTCTTTGGGGACACTGGTCCAGGAAATTCTTAGAGCTGGGAGTGCCTTCAGGCAAGAAGCTCAAACATAAACTCACCTGACAAGTGGTAGACAAGGCCTGACATACACCGGAACATAGTTTCCTTGGCATGTGGCCTTTGCTTACAAGTTGAGAAAACATGGCTTGATTTTATAGTGTGAGATCCTTTCTTTGGTTGTTTTGAATAATTGTAATGAAGAACGTCTATCAGGTGTGAAACATGCAGGCAAGGTGATAAATGCTCTACAGACACTTCTTTCTTTGACGCTTTGTCAGGCGAGTGTACTAGTGTTTCTTTCACATCGAGGATTAGCTGGGTTCAACAGTTGCCCAAAGCTGGTAAGTGGGATGTTTCAAGGTTCTTCTACTTCTTGTTATCCTTCATTCTCGCACCTGGAGAATGGGGAGCTCCAAGTGTTGTCACAGAAGGAACAGGATCCAGAAGAAGGGAATGAAGTTGACATGACACAGAAGGCAGAGGGCGTTGGGAAGAGCCAGGGGTGAAGACTGTGGGTCTGGGGACAGCTGCCTGGGCTCCAACCCCAGCCCCATCCAGGTGGGGGACTGTAAGACACTCTGTCACCTCTCTGAAAGTTCTCATCTCTTAGATGGAAATAAACAATGCCTAGTGCATTGGGGGTAGCAGGGGTTGAGTGAATTTCTTGAAAGTCTTGGAACTAGTATCTGATGCACGTTGTTAAGTGATAATATGAATTACCTCAGGATCTATCACATGGCAAGCTCTCAGAAATGTTTGCTAATATTATTATTGTTATAGAACTGAGTTATTCCTGACTCTTAGCATGAAGAGGAGGAGAGGTTTCATGCAACCACAGAGATAATTCATTCTGTTCCTGTCTAATCACTCAGACACTGCAATCTCTTAAGCTTACTTCAATACTGAATGACATGGGCAGAAAAAGAATGGTATATTTTTGGATTCAGTACAAAAAAATTGTAGTCTAGTCTATATTTAAATATATTCCAACATGTTAATCCAAACAGAATCCTTCCATTTTGGCCTCTAGAGTATTCAAAGAAAATTTTTTTCTTCTATGCTTTAAAATTAATATGAGCATGCAAATCATTTTATTAACTTGTAATAACTATTTTAAAATATCTCCAGAGCTATTTTTATGTTAAGAAACTACGAAAATGACTCAAATAACATAAAATGCTCTAATACTCTGATATTACCCTAAAAATAATAATGATAATACTTTAGAAATTTATAACATTATTTTTTACACTTTGACTTCTATTATTTCAGTTGCTCCTCCCAACAACCTAGAGAAAATGGTGGGGTTTCTCATAAGATACCAAACTTATTTTACAAATGAGGCCTCTGAGTAACTAATAAAGGTCAAGTGCCAGGTTCAGAATGCTTACATTGGATATGGCAGCATCAGTGCCCATTAAATGTAAAAATTTGGAAAACCTGGGCGCGCCTGGGTGGCTCAGTCAGTTAAACCTCTGCCTCCGGTTCAGGTCATGATCCCAGGGTCCTGGGACCGAGTCCTGCATGAGGCTCCCTGCTCAGCGGGGAGTTGTCTTCTCTCTCTTCCCCTCCCCCTGCTTGTGTGCGCACGTGCTCTCTCTCTCAAAAAAAAATTTGGAAAACCTGAAGGATGGAAACCCAAACCAGAGATGCTCACATACAGGTTTCTAACGCATAGCACTGTGCTTTGAGAATCAAACTCTGCCCAGCACCATCATGCTTAGCAGGTTTTCTAAGGGATGACAGCTGTAGTAAGTAGTCATCATCTGGTCACCCCAGTGCAGGGAGGTCCCTAGGGAAGGTGCCGAATCTGGTGAGCAGAATCCTCCACCCTGCGTATGCATCCAACTTTTAGCATTTCACTATCAGATTCTAAATACTTTTAAAATGTTAAAGTTTTTCAGTCTCAGTAAAGACACTAAAAGCAAAGGCAACAAAAGGAAAAACAAACAGGTGGGCCTCCTTCAAACTAAGAAGCTTCTGCACAGCAAAGGAAACCATCAGCAACATGAAAAGGCAACTCGCTGAATGGGAGAAGATATTTGCAAATCTTTTTTTTTTTTTTTAAGATTTTATTTATTTATTTGACAGAGAGAGACACAGTGAGAGAGGGAACACAAGTAGGGGGAGTGGGAGAGGAAGAAGCAGGCCTCCTGCAGAGCAGGGAGCCCGATGTGGGGCTCGATCCCAGGACCCTGAGATCACGACCTGAGCCGAAGGCAGACGCCTAAAGACTGAGCCACCCAGGTGCCCTGATATTTGCAAATCTTGTATCTGTTAAGAGGTGAATATCCAAAATATATATAGCACTCAGATAATTCAATAGGAATAAAACCAAGCAATCTGATAAGAAAAAAATGGGCAGAGGATCTGAATAGACATTTTTCCAAAGAAGGCCTACAAATGGCCTACAGGTACATAAAAAGGTGCTCCACATCTCTCATCATCGGGGAAATGCAAATCAAAGCTACGACGAGCTGTCTCCTCATACCTGTTAGAATGGCTATTACAAAAAGACAAGAGAACAGGTGTTGGCAGATGTCGAGAAAAGGGAGCTCTTGTGCACTGTTGGTGGGAACGTAAATTGGCCCAGACGCTGTGGAAAACAGTATCCTGCCCTTTGTGCCCTATGTGACGTCACGGATAGACCTTGAGGGCATTATGCTAAGTGAAGTAAGTCAGAGAGAAAGACAAATACTATATGATCTCACTTATATGAAGAATCTAAACCTGAACCCACGGATGCAGAGAACAGACTGATGGTGGCCAGAGGTGGGTTTGGGGAATGAAAGTAGTTAACAATAGTGTAGTATATATTTGGAAGTTGCAAAGACAGTAGACCCTAAAAGTTCTTATGAGAAGAAAAAAGGTTGTATCTCTGTATGGTGATGGATGTTAACTAAACTTATGGTAATCATTTCACTATATATATATATATATAATCATTTTGTTGTACATCTAAAACTAATATAACGTTACATATCAATTATATCTCAAAGAGAGAACAATGTATTATGACGCAAAAACTGTGTTTACCTATTTTTTAATTTTAATTCCAGTGTAGTTAACATACAGTGTTATATTAGTTTCAGGTATGCAGTATAGTGACTCGACACTTCCATACATCACCCGGTGCTCATCAGGACATAAATAACTGTGTTTATACCTCACTTGCAGTATTAAGTGCTTTTTATTGTAATTAGTGTTTACATTTCCGTTATTTCCAATAGAAAGTGAATTTGTCCAGAGGCGAGATCACGTTTGCGTCCTCCTCACACCTCCAGTGTCTGGCATAATGCCTGGTCCCTAGGAGGTACTCAGTAGGCACTCAGTATATTATAACTCAGTGAACAAAGACATGACACAACCCACAGAGACACAAACATGATAATCATCTGGGAATAAGACCCCAAGAACCAGGTGGGGCAATGGGGTGCATCCTGATGGTGGTTCTTGCAGTGAGAAAGCAAATTTCTTTCTATTAAAGAAATCCCATTCACAAAAAAGACTTCCTTTATAACTCAGAGGGTGTCCTCTGATTTGTTAATACTTTGTTAGGAGGTAATGGAGTAAGTTTAATGCCTAAGAAGGTATGAGAACTTCCTTTGGCCCCGGGACAATTTACAGGCCATTCGTGGCTGAGAGTGCAGTGTGATAAAGCTGTGGTTAATGAGAGTGGCTGCAAGATTTAGTAAGTAGGTTTGGATCTTAAGTACACATCTTCCAATCAGCTCAGCTCAGATTCGCGTGTGGGCCTAATCCTCAGCGATACACAGCAAATACATCCCCCAACCATATGTTCCAAGATTTTCTTTTTAAGGTCCAGGAGTTTGTAAGTCTAAAGCGAGGCTTTAAAGTTGTTTACTGGGGCATCTAGATCAGAGACAGATATACTTTACTTACTAAAAACTAATTTCAAAATGTCGCTTTTCAGCAATATGGCACATTGGACACTGAGTGCAATATCTCCCTGGTCTCCACATCTAAAAATGATGGATGAAATATGGAAGAAAAGTCTTTCCTTAATGCATGACTGATCTGGTAGAAAAGGAAAGGAAATCCCTGTTGGCTAGAATAAGAAAGAGAAAATCCTCCTGGTGAAGGGAGGGAGGAATCTGGGGCTTGTGATGAGGCTATTTTCCTGGTCTCAGGCTGCCAAGAGTCTGGCTTTTTACAGACCCCAAGAGTACAGACAGAGAAAACCTGGGCCAGAGCAGGTGGAAGTGGAATCAAATTTTCCCATTACACACGGACAACCTAGACTCCCGAGGGGTGACCTCCTCAGCTGATGGACTAGGGGAAAAAATCTTCCCAGAAGAGAGAATTGATAAAGAATTAATAAAGCTTTGTGCCGGTTTCAGGCTTATGGTGAGGCAGATTGGGGAGACAAAGCCTCTCTGAGAATGCCTAACCACTAAGCCTCATACACAAGGTTTTGTGAAAAGAATTCATGCTACTGATTAGCTAAATAAAAAGAACCTGAGCTAGGAAGTTAATAAGAAATACTCTGGATACTCTGGTAGCATACCCAGGAACCTGGCTGAAGCAAAACTATTTTCTATAGAGTAACACACTTTAAAAAGCCAAACTTCAAAAAATAAAAAAATAAAAAATCACACAAATAAAATTCCAAAGAGCCTGAGATCACAATAAAAAAGTTACCTAGTAAAGGAGCTATACAAGCTATCATGAGTGAAAGTGGCAGATATACAAAACTGAAGAATCTGACCAGCAGTAGATATTGGAATGATCAGATACAGAGTACAAAATAAGTATGTTTGATATGCTCAAAGAAATAAAAGTATGAGAAATTTGGTAAAGGCATAAGAGATTATTATAATTAACCAGGCAGATTTGAAAAAGAAACCTATTTCTTTGTTTTTTGCATTTTTTTGAAAACAAAGAAACCAGTGATTAAAATT